TTTTCCCTGTGCTATTCATGGGTAGACTTTTGGTAGCTGACAGTTAGTGAGGATGTAGAGAGTGAAAATTTAGAAGAGGCTTCTGATTAAAGATGCCAGTCTTAGGACTGTAAACAATGGATGAAAACATGGGAAAATGATATTGTCATTAACATCACTTAAGAACTGTTAGAAATTTGTATACTGGGCCGGGCGCGGTGGCTCACGCCTGTAATCCCAGCACTTTGGGAGGCCGAGGCTGGCGGATCACAAGGTCAGGAGATCGAGACCACAGTGAAACCCCGTCTCTACTAAAAATACAAAAAATTAGCCTGGCACAGTGGCGGGCGCCTGTAGTCCCAGCTACTCAGGAGGCTGAGGCAGGAGAATGACGTGAACCCGGGAGGCGGAGCTTGCAGTGAGCCGAGATCGCGCCACTGCACTCCAGCCTAGGGGACAGAGCAAGACTCTGTCTCAAAAAAAAAAAAAAAAAAAAAAAAAAGAAATTTGTATACTGGAGTCAAATTTTAGGTTCTGGAGTGACAGTTATCAAGACTATCCTTAAAATAGTTTAAATTGTTCATCAAGTATGTAGACAAACTCATTCTGAAGTAGGTTTATTTCTTTCAGGTTTTTTTGGTCAGCATTGTTTATGATTGTGGTTTCTTAGGGTGAGGTGTGTGCATGTAAAATGAAGAGATTAGTGTTTGTTTAAAGACAGACAGCTGCTATAGCTTATTGGCGTTCCCCTCAGTTTGCTTTAAGTATCATGGAAGACGAGAATGGAACTGAAGTCTTCTTTACTCTTTAATGATTTCTAAAGCTTCTGATATTGAAAGCAATGTATTGACGGTAGAACATGCAAAGGAAAAGTTGAACTGTCCCAGATTGGAGGAGATTAAATAGATACTATAGCTAAAAGCAATATGATGATCCTGAAATAAATCCTAGATCTGAGGAGAAGGGGAAACTACGAAGGATATTATTGGAGCAGTAGTTCGAATATGGACTGTAGATTAGATAATATTAGTGCATCAATGTTAAATTTCATGATTTGATAAATGTACTTTGGTTTGGTAGGAGAAAATTATTGCTGTTAGGTAAGACATTCTGAAGTATTTATGGATAAAGGGAAATTCTGTCTGCAAATTACTCACATGTAGTTCAGGAAAAAATATATCTACATGTATGTGGAGAGAGAGCATGTATGGAGTGTGCACTGACACAAGTGGTAAAGCAAATAGAACACAAGTGTTCACAGTTGGTGATCTGAGTAAGGGGGACAGAGAAATTCTTTGTACTATTGTAATTTTTCTCTAACTGTGGAATTATATCAAAACATATAATATTCAAAGGAAAATGAGAAAAGAAAAAAAATACAGTGATTATTACTTAAGATTTTGTGTTTAGCCTCACAAAAATGGTGTGTCTCGTTGTACTGCTTTACCTCTTCTCAGTTCAGGCCTTTTCTTATCCCAAAAATACCATTTATATGTAACCTGCATAGAAGCCTCCTTTGATCCTGTAAATCTAAAGTAAATCCTTCTTCCTACCCACTCTTCTTTTGTGTGTTTATTACAACTTATATCATGTTTGTTTTGTTTTTGTTTAATGCTGCTTTCTCCTTCAAGAGTGTGAACTCCATGAGGACAAAGATTATGTCTGTTTTTTTCCCCACAGAATACCCAGTCCTGACACATAATATCAATACATGTGTTTTGGATTTGGATAAATGAATGAATGAATATTCCTTCCACTTTAGTCAGCATACCTTAGCTACCTAATCTCTGAGAAAACAAAATGTCTCTTTTTAAACTGTAAGATAAAGCCTATGTTTTTGGATTTGGTATTCATTTACTCATTCATTCAGCAGATCTTTATTTAATACAGTCATCTGATTCCCTGCTTATCTCTAGCTTCCTTTTGTTAACATCTCTCAGATCTGCATGACTTTTCTAGGTCTGCACCTTCTGGCCAGTCTTCTGTCAATCTGTTAAGTGCCTTTCATAGTTCCCTGTCACTCTCCACATATTTCTTAGAAAGTATCACATTTATGATAATTATGCCTACTTTCCCTGGCTGTAGATACTGCCTTTTTTTTTTTTTTTTTTTTTTTTTAAAAGAAAGAGTCTGGCTCTGTCGCCTAGGCTGGAGTGTAGTGGTGTGAGCCCAGCTCCCTACATCCTCCGCCTCCCAGTTCAAACAATTCTTCTGAGTCTGAAAGAAGATGTGTGTGAGGGTAGGGCAGGTGGAAAGGGTGATCATAGCAGGCAGGGCAAATAGAATCCTAAGCAGGGAGAACTGCCCCATGAAGACTCAGAGACTTTAACAGCTGGATTTGTTTAGGGAGTTTAAGCAGTGTGATATTTGGGACTGATAAACTGGGAGAGGGGTAGAGGATGAGGGTGAAAAGTTGTGGTGGAAAGGAAGAGCATATTATACTTCTCTCTTGGGTGTTATTGTCGTTTAATAAAGCATTTAAAATAGTTTCCTGGGATATAATGAATACAAAGTGGTAGCTGCTGCCATAAAAGTCATAATTGTCTTGAGTTTTAAAGCAGCAGAAAAACTTGGATCAACCTAACATGTAGGAAGATTTCTTGGAAGGCACATGGAGGTTGACGGACTAGTGATTGAGGAAATTAGTCCAGGTTGAAAACAGTGTCTCATTTAAGGCAGTAGGGATAGGAATAGGGATATCATGTGATTAAGTATTTAAATGTTAGAATTTACAGGACAAAAGGAAGACCAATCTAGGATAATATGTGAGAGACTGGGTGAATGTAGACTTCATCAACAGAGATGAAAAATTAAATCAAGGAGGATTATGGGGCAGAGAAGTAAAAAGCTTGGTTTTAGAAACAATAGTATTGAAGAATGCATATAGGAGATTGATTTGAATTTGTTGAGTTTGAGAGGGATTGGATAGATAGTTTAGGAAAGATTTGGGAGTCAGCAATCAACAGTGGTGGTAGCAGCAGCTATGGGAGTAAGTGAACTCTACTACAAAGGTAAGGCGACTGAGATCCCTCCCAAATTTTGGAGGGTTGACTTATCTGCCAAATACCACATTTTTTCTTTGACGTCCTTTTGGGGGAACCCGCCCCCAATATTTCAGTGTAGGTTCTTTCTATTTTCCATTAGTGACGGCCAGCTGAGAAATAAAGAGAGGAATTTTACAGCTGGGCTGCTAGGGGTGACATCATATATCAGTAGGACCTTGATGCCCGCCTGCATGAGCCTCAAAACCAGCAAGTTTTTATTAAGGGTTTCAAAAGGGGAGGGGGTGTAAGAATAGGGAGTAGGTACAAGATCACATGCTTCGAAGGGCAAAAAGCAGGACTACTAATAAGGGTCTAAAAGATCGCATACTTATACGGAACAGGACAAAAGGCAAAAGCAGAACTACTGATAAGGGTCTGTGTTCAGTGGTGCATGTATTGTCTTGATAAACATCTTAACAGAAAACAGGGTTTGAGAGCAGAGAACCAGTCTGACCACAGATTTACCAGGGCAGAGTTTTTCCCCACCCTAGTAAGCCTGAGAGTACTGCAGGAGACCAGGGTGTGTCTCAGTCCTTATCTCAACCACATAAGACAGACATTCACAGAGCGGCTGTTTGTAGACCTCCCCCCAGAAATGCATTCCTTTCCCAGGGTATTAATATTAATATTTCTTGCTAGGAAAAGAATTTAGCAATATCTCTCCTACTTGCACATCCGTTTATAGGCTCTCTGCAAGAAGAAAAATATGGCTCTTTTTGCCCGACCCCACAGGCAGTCAGACCTTCTGGTTGTCTTCCCTTATTCCCTAAAAATTGCTGTTACTCTGTTCTTTTTCAAGGTGCACTGATTTCATATTGTTCAAACACACGTGTTTTAAGACCAGTTTTCACAGTTAACACAATTATCAGAGTGGTCCTGAGATGATGTACATCCTCAGCTTACAAAGATAACAGGATTAAGAGATTAAAGACAGGCATAAAAAATTATAAAAGTGTTATATGGGAACTGATAAATGTCCACGAAATCTTCCCAATTTATGTTGCTCTGCTGCAGCTCCAGCTGGTTCCTCCGTTTGGGGTCCCTGACTTCCCACATCGTCCTCCTAGTAGCCCTGTGATATGGTTGTGTTATATTAATCATCTATTGTTGACTGAGAAATTACGACAAATTTGGTTGTTTGAAGCAATATAAATCTATTATAGATTCTGGTCATGGCTTCACTGGACCCTTTTGGGTCTCTGCAAGACCTCAAAGTGTTGGCCAGGGCTGAGGTCTTGTCTGAGGCTCAACTAGGAAAGGATCTGTTTATGGGCTTGTGGTGATTGTCAAGATTCAGTTCCTTGAGCGTTACCAGACTGAGACCCTTAGCTTCTTGCTAGCTAGCCATCTTCAATTCCTTACCAAGTGGGCCTTTCCATATGGCAGCTTATGTCATCAACGTGGCAAGAGAGTCAGCTGGCAAGATGGGAGTTACAATCTTAAGTAACAATCACTTACATGATATCCCATCACTTTTGCAGTATTTTTTTGGTAGACCCTGCCTACACCTGAGGGTGGGGATTTCACTGGAGTATGAATACAGTAGGTGGATGTGGTACAGATAATTGCTACTGTCTTAGAGGCTGTCTGCTGCAGGTGCCGTTTTTATTCCTGTTTACAAAAGAGGAAGCCGAAAAAGTTGTCCAAGATCATGTAATTGCAAGTAATGGACCCCAAACCAAACCCAAGCTTTCTGACTCCACTGCCTGGATACTTCTTTACCATAATATTTTAAGGAATGAGAAATTGTTGTAGAAATGGCAGTTTTGAGGAATTTATTGGTAACTTTTGTTTGATGCCATGGAGTGATGTGGGTTGAAGTCATGTAGTTGGTATTATAGTGAATGTGCAGATAGAAGGGCCTGAGTAGAGATTATTCTTACAGATGGTAGTTTTAAAAGGAAGAAAGGAACAATAACCGTATGTTGTTTCATACTGAATTGTTTCTCTTTATAACCAGAAATTTTTCTTTTCCAGTTCTCTGAGTTTAACCAGTAATGCCATTCAGTTGCCAATCTCAAGCAAAGCAAACATAAACCAGTTTTAATCTACTTTTTAAGAAAAGTGGTAGTCCTTTTCACAGTGCCTGACGGTAAGTCACAGTTTCTACCTGTTTAGCAGAGTTTAATCTATTGTCTTTAAAATAGTGATTCTGGAAATCTTAATTTGAAAACCTTATTTGCTTTTTCCTTCTCTAATAATTCTCTAAAGGCTTATGTGGAAAGAGCATAAGTAAAGGTACCTACTACTTTCTGGGAATTTATTTATAGTTATCGTTCACCAGTTTCATTAATCTTGTGGATCTTGTCCTCCATTTGTTGAAAATAAAATGGTAGTCTACCATGAAATCTGTCCCCTTTATATGTCATTATTTTAAGATATTTTTCGTTTCTCTTTTTCTTTTGAGATAGGGCCTTTCTCTGTTGCCCGTGCTGGAGTGCAGTGGCACAGTCGTAGCTCACTGCAGTCTTGAATTCCTTGGCTCAGGCCATCCTCCTGCCTCAGCCTCCCAAGTAGCTAGGACCACAGGCATGTGCCATGAAGTGTGGCTAATTTTTTAAACATTTTGTGCAGACAGGATGTTGCCATGTTGCCCAGGCTAGTCTTGAACTCCTGGCCTCAAGGGATCCTCCTGCCTTGGCCTCCCAAAGTTCTGGGATTACAGGCATGAGCCACTGTGCCTGGTTGTCTGTGTCAGCCTCATTTTATAGATGAAGAAGCTTTATTTTCTAGATGAAGTTTTTCCTTGGGCATGTTAATGGCAGAGTTGTTTTAAATATTCTGATTTCTAGACCTGTACCCTTGCTACTGTTATACAAAGTGGTGGAACTATTAAGGAGTTTCTTATGGAGGATTTCCAGCTCAGTGTAGAGGTAAAATGCAGATCAACAGGCAGCTGATGGAAGGAATTGGGATTCATTTCCCAATTTGCAAGTAATGGCTACTCTTAATGTGTGATCAGTAAGTTTAACCTTAATACTAATGTATTTTTTATTATGTTAAGGAAGAAGTTGGGGGAAAACTGTCAGGGATAAGATGTTTGACCAACTGTTTTATTCTTAATGTGAAACACTGCGTGAAATATGCACGTAGCAACCTTTACTCTAGCTACTGGCCTTTTACTTCTTGAAAAATCAAACGTTTTTTCCTATGGCAGAACAGTTATGCTTTTCTTTTCACTGATCTCATTACTGTTTATTTTTATGTGTTTTAAGCATTGGGTTTACTGAACTGTCCGGTTAGCCATCCTAGACCTCAAAGCCAGTTTTGATATTTTTGTTACTTATATAGTAATACTGTAGTGTGTCACAGTGATGATAGTATTTGTGATTGTAGTTGCATTTGTAAAATTGATCACTTTTCTTGTTTCTTCTAGTAACCGTATCAGAGGGTGAGGTATAAGCTCACAGAATTCAGATAAATCATCATGAAGTTATATGTATTTCTGGTTAACACTGGAACTACTCTAACATTTGACACTGAACTTACAGTGCAAACGTGAGTTGTGTTTCATTTATTTTTTTTCAGTGTTTCATTCTGTCTGCATGCAGAAAGTTAAAGAAATATTACTCTACTGTTTAAAAAGTAGCCTAGTGGTGGCTGGGCTTGGTACTTCACACCTGTAATCCTAGCACTTTGGGAGGCCAAGGCAGGTGGATCACGAGGTCAAGAGATCGAGACCATCCTGGCCAACATGGTGAAACCCCGTTTCTACTAAAAATACAAAAATTAGCTGGGTGTGGTGGCGTGCACCTGTAGTCCCAGCTAATCAGGAGGCTGAGGCAGGAGAATCACTTGAACCCCCAGGGGACAGAGGTTGCAGTGAATCGAGATCACGCCACTGCACTCCAGCCTGGCGAGTGAGTGGGACTCTCTCAAAAAAAAAAAAAAAAAAAAAAAAAGCCACATAATGGCAAGTCTTAAATCTTTTATTGCAACATATTTTATATATAATTGTTGTCCTTCTCTAAAATACTAATTACATTCTTTAAATTGTGCTTTGTCCTGTTGCCATGAATATAATATTCACAGTAAATAGATCTACCCACAAAACAAACTGATTTCCATTGTTATAAGTACCTATAGTCAATTGCTGTTCTGTGTTTCACAGGCCATTGTTAAGGGAATTATTGGAAGCTTCATAAAACAATGTATAATCACTTCCATGGTTTTTGATCAGTTTATGGATAAATGTCAATAGGTTTATTTTGTTTGTTAATGAGAGAAAAAATAAATTTAATATTTTCAGCCAAATTTAGTGGAACTCAGGTATCTAATAATTCTCTAGCTTGACAGGACAGAAAGAAAATCGAAGTAGTAAGTGTCATTTCCAACGCTGTTTATATTTTTATAGTGACCATAATAGTAAAGACTTGATGGCAATGCAGTATAAATCTGACACTGGAATTATTATAAATAATGTGTGAAATAATAATCTTTGTTGTAAAAGTTGAATTATGGATTTTTTTTTTCAGAGTTAGTTTTCATTAAACTTGGTTTTACCCTTACATGAATGATGTTTTGGAATACAGGGCTAGGAAGGAATCTTCACAGGTGCTAGACTTAATGTAGTTTCTAAAACGTGTGGAGATTTTAACAAAAATTATGTAGCCTGAGGATTTTAATAGACCTGGTAATCAGTTTGAGCATATTCCTTTGCTGTGTTATATAGATAACTCTAAAATAAATGTGTCTACTGCCTCCATTTCATAGACTCACTTCTAGATATGACGCATGGGCGAGTTATTTACCTAAGATCAGTCAGTTGTTAGGGAATCCAGTTCATTAAATAGGAAGCTTGTATTCTTTATTACTGTTTTTGGGGAAAGTTTTAGAGTGAAATTCATTAACCTCTAAGGTGTTTTTACATAGTACTACTTGGAAAATAAAATCATTGGGCAAATATAAACAACTGATTTATTTCATTTTTTTGAAGTGTGGCAGACCTTAAGCATGCCATTCAAAGCAAATACAAGATTGCTATTCAACACCAGGTGCTGGTGGTTAATGGAGGAGAATGCATGGCTGCAGATCGAAGAGTGTGTACCTACAGTGCTGGGACGGTAGGTATTCAAGAGCCCTTTCACACAAGAGTGCACACCACCTTCACAGCACATTGGGAACTCAGTGTTCAAAAGTAAGGTTTATTTGCTTCATATATTGAAGGCAATGTGCATGTTCAGTATTTATAACATTTTATTTTGGTTATTTCTCCTTTTTTAAAAAATATAGGATACAAATCCAATTTTTCTTTTTAACAAAGAAATGATCTTATGTGATCGTCCACCTGCTATTCCTAAAACTACCTTTTCGACAGAAAATGACATGGAAATAAAAGTTGAAGAATCTCTTATGATGCCTGCAGTTTTTCATACTGTTGCTTCAAGGACACAGCTTGCAGTGGTAAGATATAAACAATTATTTTAACTAACTGATTGCTTCTAAAAGCATTCGAATCTAAATAGCACAGTAGTCTAAATTGCATAGGAAGCATGCAGGAAGTTTGACAAACTGAAAATATTTTGTGGTTAATCTAGTTTTAAAATTTCTGGGTCATACATTGCTAGTTATTCTACTTTGATAATGACAGTATTTTAGAGTGGAACAGCTGTCTTAACATCATTTGGTCACCTTCTTTCATAGATATAAATAGTTACTTTTGAACATTAATTAATAAAAGACCTACGTTAGAGTAGATATAGACAGAGAACTTACATAGCTCTAAAAATGTATTTATTTTTTCCATATTTATGGTTAGTTCCTGGAGGAGAATCAGGTTTCTTTCTAATATATAGCTTTTAACACTGCTTCTTGCAGTTGCCACGGATTTCATTTGATTTTCCTTTTTAATTTGCTATTTACCTTCTAGTAACGTCATTAACATTAAGCTGTCAGTAGTAAGCTACATTTTTCTTTTAATCATGAAAAAAATGTGTTAGAACCAGTGAAATAGTAGTATTTACGTTTTGTAAAAATAAATAACGTTACCGAACATTGCTTTAATTAGTAAAACTCTTAGAGATTTGTTTTAAACAGTATATACATTTGTACAGATACCCCCATTTTTCCACATAGGATACAACATTAAAAGGAAATAACCGCATCTGTGTGAAACATATTTAATAAACATTTACGAGTCCAAAAGTGCTTTGGGAGGACAAAATTTTTAAAAATACACTTCTGTAAACTGAATTTGCATATTAGAATTGTTTTTTGATTTGGTTGAAAAGTATACACACTACATTTTGATAGAGAAAGTATTAAATATGATAAAGGATAACTAGGATATATAATTTTCAAGTGATTAGAGAGAGAGAGCAATTAAAACTATTCAACGAAAGAATGAAAACAAGAAAGTACAAAGAAAACAAAATGGCAGAAATACATATATCAGAAATTATATTAAATATAAGCTAGCATTATTTCTCTTTTAATGCATCATATTTAAAATATTTTTTAAATACATAAATGAAATGAGAAAGATGATGATTGCTGTTGAGATCCTGAATTAGTGATCCGAGATTCAAATGCCAAGCATTCTATATCAGTCTGTTTTCATGCTGCTGATAAAGACATACCTGAGCCTGAGATGAAAAAGAGGTTTAATTGGACTTAACAGTACCTCATGGCTGGAGAGGCTTGGAATTACGGCAGGAGGCGAAAGGCGAAATTGGCTAAAACAAAGGGGTTACAGGTCCCATGCAAGTTCGAAAACCAGCATGGTAGCCAAGTTTTAAAGCTCCAAAAAGATCTCCTTTGACTCCAGGTCTCACATCCCAGTCACACTAATACAAGAGGTGGGTTCCCATGGACTTGGGGCAGCTCCTTCCCTGTGGCTTTGCAGGGTGCACCCTCCCTCCCGGCTGCTTTCACGGGCTAGCGTTGTGTCTGTGGTTTTTCCAGGTGCACAGTGCAAGCCGTTGGTGGATCTTCCATTCTGGGGTCTGGAGGACGGTGACCCTCTTCTCAGAGCTCCACTAGGCAGTGCTGTAGTAGGGACTCTGGGGGCTCCGACCCTACATTTTCCTTCTACACTGCCCTAACCGGTTCTCCATGAGGGCCCTGCCCCTGCAGCAAACTTTTCTGGGCATCTAGGTGTTTCCATAAATCTTCTGAAATCTAGGCGGTGTTCCCCAACCTCAATTCTTGACTTCTGTGCCCCTGCAGGCTCAATATAGCATGTGGACGTTGCCAAAGCGTGGGACTTCCACCCTCTGAAGCCATAGCCCGAGCTGTATGTTGGCCCCTTTCAGCCGTGGCTGGGGGCAGGGCACCAAGTGTCTAGGCTGTACACAGCACAGGGACCCTGGGGCCGGCCCATGAAACCACTCCTTCCTCCTAAGCCTCTGGACGTGTGATGGGAGGGGCTGCCATGAAGGTCTCTGACACAGCCTGGAGACATTTTCACTATGGTCTTAGGGATTAACGTTAGGCTCCTTGCCACTTGTGCAAATTTCTGCAGCCGACTTAAATTTATTCCCAGAAAGCGAATTTTTCTCTTCTATCACGTTGTTAGGCTACAAATTTTCCAAACTTTTATGCTCTGCTTCCCTTATAAAACTGAATGGCTTTAAAGGTACCCAAGTCACCTCTTAAATGCTTTGCTGCTTAGAAATTTTTTCCACCAGGTACGCTAAATCATCTCTCTCGAGTTCACCTGAGATTACAGGTATGAGCCACCATACCCAGCCTAAGCAGCTTTTAAATTAGTGAAATGCTAGGGCCATGTTTGCGTAAAACAGAAACAGTGGTTCAGTACTTTGAAGCGTTGAGGAAATAAGAAAAGGAAATCAGTGTCATAAATGGTGAAAATGATAAATGACAAACATTTCTTTTAGGTGATAATATGTTTGCATATTTGGAAAATTAAGGGATTTTAATGAAAACCTCTCCAGGGTTTTGGTAAGGTGACTGGATATGTGATAAATATATTCAAATGAATAGAGTTTCTCTGTACTGGCCACTGCATTAGGATAGAAATAGAAAAAAATACTGTAATCTGAACAGCAGCAAAAACTTCAAAATAATATATATATATATTTTTGTAGAACTTCAAAATATACTTAACAATTTGGCTATATAAAATATTCAAGAATGTAAAACAAGTTACATAAAACAAAGAAATGAACACAACAAATGAAGAAATTGTTCTTAAATGAACAAATGGCCATGAAACAAATGACAAGATGTATCTCATTTTTAATATGATTATGAACTTATGAACTGTAGTTACAATTGCCATGATATTTCTTTTGGAGCATAGGAGAAGCTTTGGGTTTTGTTTTGGATCTAAAATGGTCTTCAGATTCATATGGAAGGGTCAGTGTCCAGAAATCGCCAAGAAAGTCATAAGAAGAATGGAAGATGGGGGCAAAAATGTACCTTTCCAGATTTATTTACTTTTTTATTTATTTTTATTATACTTTAAGTTCTAGGGTATATGTGTACAGCATGCAAGTTTGATACATAGCTATACATGTGCCATGTTGGTTTGCTGCACTGTGTAGCAAACTGGCCTGGGCATCTAGGCGTTTCCATACATCTTCTGAAATCTAGGCTGTGGTTCCACAACCTTATCTCATCATTTACGTTAGGTATTTTATTGACTTATTATATAGAAACAGGATCTCACTGTGTTGCTGAGGTTGGTCTCAAACTCCTGGGCCCAAATGATCCTCCCGTCTCGGCCTCCCTAAGTGCTGGGATTATAGGCATGAGCCAGCATACCTGGCCTCTTTTCAGATTTATAAAACACATTGAGCCACCATGCCTGCCCTCTTTTGAGACTTATAAAACAAATTCTAAAGCTGCTATAACCAAAACAGCAACATAGTTCTAATCAATTCGTTATGTAAGGAATTAGAGGTGGTATTTCTTCATGGTCCAGGATGTGGTCTCTAAAGTCAGATTTTCTGAGTTTATATCCGATTACCTCATTTACTTGTGGTGTGACCTTTGACTCATTTACCCTGTTGGTGAATTTAAGAATGGATTTTTGTTTATTGAGATACATGCATATTGAAAAATGCACAAACTGTAATTGTACATCCATTCTTAGTGAATTTTCACAATGAACACATTGATAAAAATAGTTTCAGCCAGGTGTGGTGGCTTATGCCTGTAATCCTAGCAGTTTGGGAGGCCAAGGCGGGCAGATTATGCAGAAGTTTGAGATCAGCCCGACCAATATGGTGAAACCTTATCTCTACTAAAAAAAAAAAAAAAAAAAAAAAAAAAAAAAAAAAAACAGGAAAAAAAAAATTAGCCAGGCGTGGTGGCATGCGCCTGAATCGCAGCTACTCAGGAGGCTCTGGTAGGAGAATCGCTTGAACCCAGGAGGCAGAGGTTGCAGTGAGCCAAGATCGCGCCACTGCACTCCAGGCTGGGTGACAGAGTGAGACTTCATCTCAAAAACAAAACAAAACAAAAAAAACCCACAGAAACAAATACTTTCAACCCAGAAGCCCTACTTAGGACTTTCTCCCCATCAGTTTTCATCCTCCCTGTTCACTAATGCTAACCAGTATGTTGACTTCTAAACCAAGATTAGTTGGTCTCTTTTTGAATGTAAATAAATGGAATAATGTAGTTTCTGTTCTTTTGTGTCTAGCCTCTTTTATGCGCATGATGTTCCTGAGAATGATTAATGCTGTTGCATGTATTGATGGTTTGTATTCATCACTGCATTGTATTCAAATATGCCACAGGTTTTTTTTTCTATCTGTTCTGCTACTAGTGGATATTGAGATTGTTTCTAGTGTTCAACTAATGTGACTCAACCTACTGTGAATATCCTAATACATTCTTTTGACTACTGTAGTGTAAAGAAATCAGAATACTTTGACAGTTTAAGTCTGTCTTCTACTTCTGCAACCTCTTCTGTACCGAAATGTCCATAGTTCTTTCAGATTTCATCTTGAAATGGACTCAGTGCTCACTGTCCTTTTTTTTCCCCCCACATATTAGCTGTTGTTTTCATGGTAGTTCCTTTCATTTCACTTGTCTTGGTTGTTAAAGCCTGATTTAGACTTCTCTGTTTTCAGCAATGTCTTCTTCCAGTGTAGCCTTCAATCAGTGATATGTTTCTTTTTAATGTATTTCCTGAGCTAACTCTCTGTGTTGAGTTCTTTTTTATAAAACAGAATTAGACTAAGTTTTTAGGAAAGAATTTGGTTATAATTTCCATTTGGTCCTGGGGAGAGTTTTTCTGCATTTAGTTTTTTTTACTTTTAACTTTTTTTTTTCTTAGGGTAATTTAGTATAGATTTCATATGTTAAAATTTTTGCTTGTGTTTGAGGGAGTAGAATTATTCCTCTACAAGACAGTGTAGGAAACCTGGTGAGCAGGAAGCTGCCCTGGGTCACAGGGGATCCCTGGTTAGAAGCAGAATGTGTATGTATAAGAAAGGGACAGAGATGACTTATTCTGTCCTTCTCCTTAGACAAAATTTAGCAGTTCTAGGGACTTTTTCTCACAGTTTTTCCTTTGGCTTTTTGCAAGTATGTCATGTAAATAGGTATTACTTCTTCTACTACTCTCTAATTTCAGATAGGGCCCCAAGAGGTTCTTGCTGTCCACCCAAGCTTCTCACAAGGAGGATTCAGTTCTCCCAAGTTTTGATAAATGTCTGCAATAGTGGTGTTTACCAAAATTATCTTGAGACAGGTCACAATCAATTTAGAAAATTTACTTTATCAAGGTTAAGGACACACCCAAGACATAGCTTCAGGAGGTCCTTATGACATGTGCCCAAGGTGGTCGGGGTAAAGCTTGCTTTTATACATTTTAGGGAGACATGAGACATGAATATGTGTAAGAAGTACATGGGTTTGGTCCAGAAGGGCAGGATAACTCGAAGCGGGGGCTTCCAGGTCATAGGTAGATAAGAGACAAAAGGTTGCATTTTTTTGGAGTCTTTCATCAGTCTTTCACTGAATACATAATTTAGTCTGGTTCAGTGAATCTGCATTTTTACATAAACAATAAACAATAATACAGAGGAAGCAGATAGGCCTTTGTTTTAGGCGAGCAGAGGTATGACTTTCTGTCCCGCACATGTGGAGATACGCTGTCAGTTTACATTGCCAAGGTGAAATTTAGCAGAACTATTTTAAGTTAAAGATCTTGAAGCCCTCAAGAAATTTCCTTGTGGCAAAATTGTGAGGGAGGTATGTAGCTTTCTTATCTTTGTAGCTATCATAGGAATAAAATTGGAGGCAGGTTTACCTGACATAGTTCCCAGCTTGACTTTTCCCTTGGCTTAGTGATTTTGGGTTCCCGAGATTTGTTATTCTTTCACAGTGGATGCCCTTTTTATTTGACCCAAGTTGATCCAGTTTTCATGTTCTTCACAGGTTTGCTGCATATATTGTATGTGTAGGGGTGCTAGTTGTTTCCTGGTTTCATAAAGGTGGTGTCTTGTTTCCCTTTTGTATTTGGTTGGTTTCATGAAGGAGAAGCAGGCAAAGACATCTTTACTTCCTTATCTTACAACTGAAACTATTAGCCCTTTCTTATATACATATGGAATTAAGAACAAGTGAAGTTAAGTCATTTCTTCAAGGCCAGATAGCCAGGTAGAAGAAAAAGAACCTCTTTTCTCCAAGGCCAGTGCTCTTTACGTTCATATCATTGTACTTCCACATAGCAAACTTTCATATTTTACCTGTAAAGATATTTCTTTTCACCTAAATTTATTCATTAACAATATTATCTTCTAAAACAGAATGGTCATAATTTTGGCGTGCTTATCAGCAAAATACATAGAGAAAATACTTCCTTTTTCCTTCCATCCCGTACTCCATCTTAATGATGGTGGAACATTTGTTTTGCATTTTCCTAGACTTTGATACACACAAAATGCATTTCTATCTCATACCTCTATTGTTTCGCATTTCTAACCAACCTTAGCCTCCCCAAACAAATGGAAGCATACTATACTTTTTTTTGTTGTTTTTGAGATGGAGTTTCGCTTTTGTCACCCAGGCTGGAATTCAGTGGTACGATCTCGACTCACTGTAACCTCTGCCTCCTGGGTTCAAGTGATTCTCCTGCTTCAGCCTCCCCAGTAGCTGGGATTACAAGTGCGTGCCACCATGCCCGGCTAATTTTTGTATTTTTAGTAGAGATGGGTTTCACCATGTTGGCCAGGCTGGCCTCGAACTCCTGACCACAGGTGATCTGCCTGCCTCAGCTTCCCAAAGTGCTAGAATTACAGGCAAGAGCCACCACGCCTGGTCCATACTATACACATTATTCCTTTTTCATTGTTGCAAGGTACTCCCATTTTTGAAATATCCCAAGTTTATTTTCCTGGTAAACAGTGCTACAGTTCAACTTACTTTACATTTATAAATTTCAACAATTCAAAAAATTTAAACATTTGAATATTTTATATCCTCCATCTTTTGTGTATTTAAGAATCTTCCTCCTACCTTTTCTGCATGCACTGCAAGAACCTGTTGCTTTAATGTACCCAACAACTCTTTTACTCATCATTTCAAGGGTGTCACCTCTCTTTCATCTGTTTAAAAAAATCTGAAAACATTTTATCATTTCTGTTACTTCATAATTCCAGAGTTTTTTCCCACTCTATTTTAGTGGCTGCGTGATTGATTAATTTTTAGTGACATGGCACATAATCATCTTACTGACGTTCCTACCCCATAAGGACCATCTTACTTCTTATTTACCTTGGTAACTAGATTACCAACCATTGCAGTATTTACAGTAGCTTTTTTTGTTTGCCTGGACAACTTAAAGATAATCATTTTACATCCATTCTTTTAGGTGCCTTCCCATTCCACCATATAACATTTTCTGTATTATCAGTCTTCTTAAAGCATCTATTTGATTACGTTCTTCATGTTAAACAGTTCTTCAGGAGGTCTTTTCTGAGTAAAGTCCAATTCCTTCCTTACCTTAGTGTTTTCTGGGTCTTTGATCATCTGGCCCTCTTTCTCTCGCTTTTTCCTCCAGACCATTTGTTCTTAACCAATAACACTTTATATTTCCTATCTTTGCCACTTCATCATGTTCCACTCTTCTGAAGTACTTCTTTCCCTATCTTTGTTCATATTCTTTTCACACTTTGATACTTAAGTTAAATGCCTTCAGAAAGTTTTGACTTCTCTTTTGTGACTTTTATATCTGTCTCATATCAGTTAACAAAGGTAGAATGATCTGTCTTATTTCCTAGCCAACTAAAATATTTTGTGACAGTGGACTTCTTTACGTATCTCCATATATAAAGCAATCTACGTTGCTGCCTTGTAATTTATCCTTAATAATTATTTTTATTCTTCATTCTTTGGAACTGAATGTCAGATGTCTGTTTTCTGAAGGTATTTTAACTGCATAAATATTTTCTAGAATCTCATTTGGGGTTACTAAATGTGTTATAGTTATACTAATCTAGAAGTAGATGATGTATTTTAGCTTTGCCTTCACGAAAAATTGTTTTTAACATGTATGTCTTGAGATAATACCAGAGGACAGTGACATTTGACATGGCAGATGTTGATAATTAGTCAAATAATTGAAAGCACTACTCGTTTGTTTTTCAGAGGTAGCATCTTATGGATTCTTCTTTTAACTATGTCTTAGGATACCTGCTCAGAAACACCACACTTATGTTATAGGTTATAACACCTCTCTTACGTTAAACACCTCACTTACGTTTAGGCTCTCTTTCACAGAAGTAAACAGAGATAAACTAAAACAGTCTTTTGAAACACTTTGTTAAATGTGCTCTAGAACGCATTCACACATACATGTTTGTAAACGTATGAAAACTTCTGCAAATAAACCATTGCCTTCTTTTACTTTCTTTTGTATTCTTTTTCAATACAGGAAATGTATGAAGTTGCCAAGAAACTTTGTTCTTTTTGTGAAGGTCTTGTACATGATGAACATCTTCAGCACCAAGGCTGGGCTGCAATTATGGCCAACCTGGAGGACTGTTCAAATTCATACCAAAAGCTACTTTTCAAGTTTGAAAGTATTTATTCAAATTATCTGCAGTCCATAGAAGACATCAAGTTAAAACTTACTCAGTATGTTTGCCATTAAAATGGATATTTGTTTAAAATGCCTTTGAAATTTATCAGTAGGTTTAATCACTGCAAATTTGTTTCTTATAGGATATATATTTATTATAACTGAGGTTTATTATTTGAGCCTTTTCTGATAGTGCTTTGTAGGTTATAGTTTTTAATTTAAAAATGATAATTCTGTTTACCATGTATCTTATGAGTCTCCCACATTTCTTTCTCTTGAATTGTTTTACTTGTAATAAGGCCCCAAATACTTTTGAAGTCATTTATAAAACCAAGAATCTTTGCTTATATTTTGTCCAGTAAACAAAAGGCAAGATGTGAAAAATAACATCTAACAGAAATAGGCACATTTCCAAACCCTGGACAATGGAGGAAAATTTTAAGTTCTTTGTAAATATTACCATCCTGATGCAGGCTTGATGAGGTGGAAAAAAAAAAGTCCTGTTTTTTGGAGACTGAGTCTTGCTCTGTCACCCAGGCTGGAGTGTAGTGGCGTGATCTCGGCTCACTGCAACCTCCGCCTCCCAGGTTCACTCCATTCTCCTGCCTCAGCCTCCCGAGTAGCTGGGACTACAGGCGCCCGCCACCATGCCCAGCTAATTTTTTTTTTTGTATTTTTAGTAGAGACGGGGTTTCACCGTGTTAGGCAGGATGATCTCAATCTCCTGACCTCATGATCTGCCCATCTCGGCCTTCCAAAGTGCTGGGAGTACAGGCGTGAGCCACTGCACCCAGCCAGCCCTTGTGTTTTCAATGCTCATTAAGATGACAAGTTTTAGTTCTTTGCATAAAAGTACATTTAATACACATTGATTCTTTTTTTAAAAGGGCTATAGTTAATGTGAAAATATAACAGTAATTCAGCATGAAACTAACCCTTATTGTATGTGTGCATATGCTTTTAGCATTTTGTGTTCAGGTTTTTTGTTTCAGATCTGTAGATTTTTTTTTTCTTTTAATTATCTTGACCTTGAATTAGAAGCAAGTAGCATGTTCTGGTTTTGATCTTTGTCTTTTCTTTTTGTTTCTTTTGTTTTTTTAAATTTGGGTAACCTTTTAAATTCACATTTCTCTTTTTTGTGGTATGAATATTAGATAGATTTTGGCCTTAAAAATGGAAAAATCTTGGGAGGAAAGAGAAGGATTCATTAAGACTGGAAAGATCTTTTTAAAGTTTAAATGAGAACCTTTTCAAGTAACTTTTTCTATGGGTTCTATTAGCTGTATCAATTTAAAGTAGGGACCTACATCATATTGCATATGATTTTATAGAAGTTAAATCACTAAGATTTCATATATTCCCCATACTTTTGACAACATAAACCTATTTTTAGGGTGTTATGAGTACAAGAGTATCTTTATTAGGATTGTTATTTTTATCCTGTGCTTTCAATATATCAGATATATTTGATTTACTTAAGGCCATAAGGTTATATTCTAAGATACTGCTATGGTGAATCTTTTTGTAAATTTAAATTTGTTATCTTTAAGGTTTTATAAAAGCCTAGTGTTCACTTCTTTAATATAGCTAGCTTTACTTTAGAGTGTTTTTTGTTTGTTTGTTTGTTTTTGTTTTTGTTTCAAGATGGAGCCTTGCTCCGTCACCCAGGCTGGAGTGCAATGGCGCCATCTCAGCTCACTGCAACCTCCGCCTCCCAAGTTCAAACGATTTTTGTGCCTCAGCCTCCCGAGTAGCTGGGATTACAGGTGCCTGCCACCACACCCGACTAATTTGTGTATGTTTAGTAGAAATGGGGCTTTGCCATGTTAACCGGGCTGGTCTCGAACTCCTGACCTCAAATGATTTGCTGGCTTCCACCTCCCAAAGTGCTGGCATTACAGGTGTGAGCCACCACGCCTGGCCCTAGAGTGATATTTTAATGTATTAATGATAGCCTCTCTCTGCTAAAATAGACTTCTTTTAGTGAATAGCTAACTCATAGACTAGTTTATGTATGTATAATGTTATGGAGAGGTGGTGAGATTTGTGTATGTAATCATATGTGATTTCATTCAAACATGCTAATTCCTAACTAGAGCAGTCTCATAGTTTTACTGACAGATCTTTTGTATTTTAAGTTTAGGAACTGCAGTTTCAGTAATGGCCAAGATTCCACTATTGGAGTGCCTAACCAGACATAGTTACAGAGAATGTTTGGGAAGACTGGATTCTTTACCTGAACATGAAGGCCCGGAAAAAGCTGAGATGAAAAGATCCACTGAACTGGTGCTCTCTCCTGATATGCCTAGAACAACTAACCAATCTTTGTTAACCTCATTTCCCAAGTCAGTGGAACATGTGTCCCCAGATACCACAGATGCTGAAAGTGGCAAAGAGATTAGGGAATCTTGTCAAAGTACTGTTCATCAGCAAGATGAAACTACGATAGACACTAAAGATGGTGATCTGCCCTTTTTTAATGTTTCTTTGTTAGACTGGATAAATGTTCAAGATAGACCTAATGATGTGGAATCTTTGGTGAGGAAGTGCTTTGATTCTATGAGCAGGGTAAGTAATGTTAATTTGATATTTCTGTTGTCATTTTACTATTCTAAATTATCCTAAATATTTTATGTACTGAGAGAATGGGTATTACCTTTTAGTAGAAATTAGTGAGCCTTGGAGTGAAACTTTTAACATAGGTTGAATCAAATTAATTCATAATTTTATTTATGAATTGATTATAAATTTGTGAAGATTATTTGAGATTAATAGGAAAATTTCTAGTGCAATAAGAATAATTTACATACAGTAAACTGTACAGGTCTTGAGTGGTTCGTGCAAGGAATAACCACCACACAAATTAAAATACTGAAAATTTGATTGCCCAGAAAGTCCCCTTGTGCCTCTTTCCAGTCACCATTTCCTTAGAGGCAACCTCTTTCTGACTTTTAAAGAAGAAATTTTAAGTACTGCATCTGCCTGAGATCTTTAAAATTTGAAACGTAGATACTGTGTTTTTAGTTGTATTTTATAATTATAGTGAGCTTGTATTTTGGATTAAGGTCTTCTCCAGCACACCTGAAAACCTTTTAAACCTGAGGAATAAATATCCCTTCATATCTGATTCGTAAACTGATGCAAAATCTTTGACACCAGGAAGGAAGTTGATGGGGCATGTTTCATTGTTACAGAAATATTAAATAATGTTGTGAAGACGCTATTGTCAAAAGATAATTGTTAAAAATAGTTAAACTTTTCAAGGAGCACGCAGTCGAAAAAAGAGTTCATCTTTGATTCACTACTTAGAGCAGGATAGCACATTGTCTGGGATGCCTAAAAAAGAATACATACATTGCTGTTAAAGGTATAGGATATAGTAAAATGGAAAACTAAAAATCTAGGTTTTGTAATTCTTTCAGTGTCCAGTTTCTTGATGACATTCTATAGGCTAAGCATTTCTTTCCATTAAGACGTGTTTGTCAGAGAAGTATGTAATATGTTATGCAAAGATTGATCACTGCCAAAAATGAATGAAAGTTAGTGTTCTGCTTAAACTATTGACATTGTAGTAGCCTGAAAATACCATTTATGATTGTAGATAATCACTTACATGATTGTGATCAGAATAATTGAGATATTTTGTTTTGTTTTGTTTTGTTTTTTGCAATAGGGTCTCACCCTGTCGCCCAGGCTGGAGTACAGTGGCATGATTATAGCTCACTGCTGCCTCTTCCTCCCAGGCTGAGGCAACCCTCCCACCTCAGCCTCCTGAGTAGCTGGGACCACAGGCACACACCACCACATCCAGCTAATTTTTTCATTGTTTGCACAGACGGGGTCTTCTTCCTATGTTGTTCAGCCTGGTCTCAAAACTCCTGGGCTCAAGCAGTTCTCTTGCCTTAGCCTCCCAAAGTGCTGAGATTACAGGCATGAGCCACTGCACCTGGCCTGTCATATTTTCTATAATTAAACTGTACCAGATGTCAGAACAGAGTTATATATATGAAGAGAACCTGAAATCGGCTTTGTATTTCCATGTTTAGTGTGAAATCTCACAGAGTCATAGATTTTTTTCACTTTGTATGACTAAAGGAAAGGAACAGTGATCTTCTGACTTAATGAAAAGTCAACCAGGCACAGTGGCCTGTACCAGTAATCCCAGTGACTTGGGAGGCTGAGGCGAGAGGATCACATGAGGCAAGAAATTCAAGACCAGCTTGGGCAACATAGTGAGACTCCATCTCGAATGAATGAATGAATAAATAAATGTCAGAAATATTTATACCTTCAGAAAATAGCTATAGTGTTATTACTAAGCAATCGCTTTTTTCTTTTTAGAGGTTAATGCTACTTTGAATAGGCATAGCAACAACATCTGAAGTCTTTGTGATATTTTACATGACCATTATATTACAAAAGCAAAATACAAACTTTTATTTGGTTATTCTTGTTTGTTTCAAAATTAGCTAACATGACTTTAAAGTGGTGCCTATAATGGTACCTAACATGACTTTAAAGTGGTGCCTATACTCACTAGTTGCATATGCCCATTAGATTTTTTTATTACTTGCTCTATCAAGAAGAGTAGCTATTGGATGCTGGGCTTATTACCCAGGTGCTGGGATGATTTGTGCAGCAAACCACCATGGCACACATTTACACATTTATGTAACAAACCAGCACATGCTGCACGTGTATGCCAGAGTTTAAAATAAATGTTTGAAATAAAACAATATATATTCTAAAGCAATTAAAATCCATTTTGGAAAAATTTATGTTTATATTTTTATTTATATTTTACAAAATACTTGATCTATAAATGTGATGTATTGCATAATGAATGGCATTTTGCCTTGATGTTTTTATTAGATGGATATTTTTCTCCTCTCAGGAGTACTATACTTTTTCTTGATAACACTAGTGGCATTTCTGAAGATGAACCGAGTATGAGATTTGTCTCTGATTGGGGATAGTTTTTTACGCCTGTTTTATTAAACAGTTGTCCAAAACAACTAACCTACTTGATATCTGATTGCAATAGCGCTGTTTGCCAATGAAGTAATAAAAACATATGCCAAGATTTTTTATCTGTAAAAGGAAATTCAGTTTAAATCTATCGTTTTTGCAGATTAATTCCAATTGTAACAGTATTTGTATCATGTATTTTCAACTGCCAAATTAAAATGTCTTTCTTGGGAAATTAGTCAAGACATAGGTATTTTGGAAATTAGGATTTGTAATCACAGGGGCTCAAATCTGGGCATTGACATTCATTTACTACCTCTGTCATCCATAAGTCACTTAACATGGGATTCCTAGTTTTATATTTTTGTGGATTAAGAGATGCTAGTTTTGTGAATTATTGTTTTTCCCCCATTTTATCTGTCAGAAAAAATTTAGAATTGTTGCTGCATTTTTGTAGACTCACATTTTTAGATTTTAGTGTATTCTTGCTAAAAAGACTCTTTTTTTTGTTTTTGTTTTTTGAGATGGAGTCTCGCTCTGTCACCCAGGCTGGAGTGCAGTGGCACGATCTCGGCTCACTGCACCCTTCACCTACCGGGTAGCTGGGATTACAGGCACCTGCCACCGCGCCCAGCAAATTTTTGTATTTTTTTAGTAGAGATAGGGTTTGGCTATATTGGCCAGGCTGGCTTTGAACTCCTGACCTCAGGTAATTCACCTGGCTCAGCCTCCCAAAGTGCTGAGATTACAGGTGTGAGCCACTGACCTGGTTTTAAGATTATGCTTGAGTGTTCTGTTTCAGATTATACTACAAAAGGCACACTGATTTGTGTTTCTGACGATTAATAATTGGAAGCTTCTGCATTTAGCACATTTCTAAACTGTCTAGGTTAATGCCAGCATAATTTATTGACCTTTAGCATTTCTTTCAGACAACTTGTGATTTTAAGGAATCTATGCAGGGGAGTGGGTTTAAAGGTGGGAGGCTTAAGAGAGAGTGTAAGAAACTTTGTTTTATAGTTTTTTTCTCAGTTAAAAATAATATTAGCCTTTGTAGATGCCAAAGAGCCCAAGAATAAAAATTAGTGTATCACTGCCTGTTAATTATTCAAAATTGGCTAAATAATTACTAATGAGATTCCGTGGTTTAAATATATGTAATCTAAAACATTTCTTCAAAGATTTTTATTACCTGTGGACAGATGGAATAAAATATTAAGTGCAGTGAAATTTTAGGAAGTCAGCTGGGGACGGTGACTCATGCCTATAATCCTAGCATTTTGGGAGGCCAAGGTGAGAGTATTGCCTGAGCCCAGGAGTTTGAGACCAGCCTAGGTAACAGGGTGAGACCCATGTCTACAAAAAATTGTTTTAAAAATTAGCTGATTGTGGCGGCACATGCCTGTAGTCCCAGCAGTTAGGGATGCTGAGGCCGTAGGATCGCTGGAGCTTATAGTATGAACTGTGATCATGCCACTGCACTCCATCTTGGGCAACAGAGCCAGAACTTGGCTCAAAAAAAAATTTTTTTTTAGGAAGTTATGCAAACTTTTTAGTGAATCATCAAATACTCTCCTATGTTTGTCAGTGCAGTTATACTTTCAATGAATTAAGTTAGTTCAGATACGTCATATTCAGGAGCCCTTGTTTTTGGTTTGTTTTAAGTTGTTGCTATGTTAAGTTTATGTATAATTGTAATTTTGCCCAGGTTGAACATTTGAACCAATTTCCATCTTTATCGTTCTAATAATTTGTAACCAGGCTTTGATTTGCATAGTACTCTGGTGTAGAAATATATACACATTGGACTCAGTTACCACAAAATTGAGAAAAGTGAGAAAATGTTCACAAATGTACAAGTTTCAGTTGAGACAACATTGTACAAAACCAGTGGTGCCTATTCTGAAATAATGGTTTTGTTAATTTTTTTGGTGGTGTTAGACATGCAGCCTTTTATTTAACTGCACTGGATTTTTGATAATAACAATAAAGTAGTTTAGTTTTAATTGTTTTTGTATGTTCTCTGCGTACAAGACTATGCATTAATCAATTTTTTTCAACTGTAGAGATTAGAGAAGGCAGCATGAAGGAGGTAGTATTTGACTAGGATCTTTAAATAGAAGGAGAGGTTGACTTAAACAGTATAAGAATTGTGAACAAAGATCAGAGATAGAAAAACACAGTTTATCTTGAAATGATAGACATTTCAGCTGGAAACATGAGAGGCTTGATTTTCTTGATATCAAGATCAATGAAGCTTTTCTTGTATTCTACATTTATTGGATATTTTCTGTGGGCAGAAGAAAGTCATTTGGGGGGTTTATTAGGAACAAGCATAGTAAGTCAATAATAGAAGGTTTCATGGTTGATACCCACATGTAGTTATTAGTAAACAGAAACACAGCTTGAGAATTTGTGAGACTGATGAGTGATTGAAGTAGACTTGGGAGTTATCTCCAGAAAAGTTATACTTAACGCTGAAATCATATTGAGAACAGTAAAAATGGGCTTCTGAATCATCTATTTTAGAAAGATTAGACAAAGCAAAAGGAGCCAGAAAAGGATGCTATGAAGGAACCAGTAGAAGTAACTTCCCAGAGCCTGTAAGGTTGGGAAAAGGTTATCTGCCGTGCTAACTGTTGAAGAGCCTCAAGTGAAGCAAGGTCATTGGTAGTTTTTGGCTGAGCGGTTTTTATGGAAAACGCAGACGGAAAGGCAGCCAGGTAAAATATTTTTTTAAGGGACCAGGAGCATTACTGGAAAATTTTGTAGGTTCCATGAATTTCAGCAAATGTGTAGAATTAAAGCCAGGGAACAGGAGAGATGGAAGAGTGAGAAAGCATAATTGAGCAAGCAGATTCATTGAGGAGATAGAGATTGAGAATAAAGAAGTTTTATCTTCTGTCTCCAGGAGGGAGATAAGTTTGCCAAAGAAGTTTATATGTTTTAAAGAGAAGTTGCATTGATAAGAGAATTAATGATATTATGCTGACATTGAAAATACCTTTTGCTGAGAGATATTGAGAAGTGATTAAATTGTAACACTGATTGAAATGTGTGATTCCTGAAACTGTATTCCTAATTATGTATTCTAGTGTAAATTTAGTGTTGTCTAAGAGGATATTTATCCTGTACTTGACCTTCTTATAAAAGTATAACTTAGAGTACCCATGCTTTTGCTTTTTTATGTCTTTTATCACTTATTTTCTCTCTTAAGCTGTATGTCAGAATAGCATGAAATACATTTTAAACTATTTGCTGAAAATTGTATTCATATGTGTTTCCTTGTCATTTAGCTTGATCCAAGGATTATTCGACCATTTATAGCAGAATGCCGTCAAACTATTGCCAAACTTGATAATCAGAATATGAAAGCCATTAAAGGGCTTGAAGATCGGCTCTACGCCCTGGACCAGATGATTGCTAGCTGTGGCCGACTGGTGAATGAACAGAAAGAGCTTGCTCAGGTACCTATTTTAGATTTTTCTCAGGAAAAGGAATTTGTAGTTTTTCTGTACACGTTTTATGTGCAATATCAATTTGGTGTGTACCATATTTTCACTTTATCCTTGAATATTTGTAATGTATTGTTTGCTTGTAATAAAGCAGAAAGGCATGTTCTTAATGGTTGAGTTTCCTGTAGATAAACCATGAAACTGCTACTTGAGGCTGGGGGCAGAAATGAACATTTTTTGATATGTTGAAAGCGTATGATCCTATCAGTTACTGTGCTAAAAATTTGAATGCTTCCTACTACCCTCCCCGCCCCGTAGGACAAAGGATAAGAAATGAAATTTTTTAAGAATAGAAGGAAAATACAAAAGCTTGAAGAATTTACTAATACTTCTAATAGTAATACCTAGGTTTTAGATCTAATTTAATGCCACAATCCTAGAACTGTTGAAAAAGTGGATTTTAAACCAAAGGAAAGTGGTGGAATGGCTAAGTAAGAGTGGTAAACGTGAATGTTTCTTAGCAAACCAGTGCCTCTCTTAAATTCATGATTGCCTGTTCTTCACCCACCATGACAAGCATTGTGGCAAAACCACCTATAGCTGAATAGTTGAATGTCATAATCAGATTCTGACACCTGTTTTTCTAGTTTAATTTTCCTTGCCAGTATTTTTCCTCTAATTGTGTTCTTTCATTGGAACATATAAATAGTTACATCCCCATATTAACTTTTTTCCTTTTTTCTTAAGGTAAAACATACTTCCTTGACATCATAGTTAAGGCTGATGTAAATTAGAATGTCCTTTAGTATTTCCTTTTAGTGATATGTTCAGTTCTGTCATTTGAAAATCTCTTTAAATCACCTTGATTTCTGGAGGATATTTTTACCTGGTTCATATAAAATTCTAGGTTGTTAGCATTTTATTTGTGGTCTTTTCTTTGTCTTTTGTTTGGTTTTTAGCAATTTTAGTATGAGGTGCCAAGATGTGGCATTCTTTGTATTTATCCTACTTTGGGCTTCTAGTCCATCTTGAATCTGTGGCTTAATGACTTACACCATTTGGGAAAAATCTGAGTCAGTTTCTCTTCAGATCTTGCTTTTCCCTCGCTTGCTTTTCCTTCTCTTTCAGTGATTGCAGTTAGACGTGTTAGACCTTTCACCATTTACACTTGTTTCATTTACACTTGTTTCTTGTATTTTCCGTCTTTTTATCCATCTGTGCTTCATTCTAGATATTTACCTTTAACCTACATTTTAACTTTTTCTCTTCTTTAGTGTTTAACGTAGCTAACTATTTGCTCATTTCTTATTTTTGTTCATTTTTCAGCTCTACAATTTCAGTTTGGTTCTTTTGTTTATATAGTTTCATATTCTTTACCCCCAAATATTTAGTCTTAGCCATTCATCATCTCTTTGATCACATTAATAAGCATATAGCAATTTAAGTCTTTATCTGTTCACTGTGTTGCCTGTTCTTGTGTGTCTGTTTATCTTTGGTGGTGTTTCTTTTGTTTTTGAGAGGAAGTTTCGCTCTTGTTGCCCAGCCTGGAGTGCAGTGGCGCTGTCTCATCTTGCTGCAACCTCTGCCTCCTGGGTGCAAGCGATTCTCTTGCCTCAGCCTCCCAAATAGCTGGGATTACAGGCATGCACCAGCATGCCTTGTTAATTTTGTATTTTTAATAGAGACAGGGTTTTTCCATGTTGGTCAGGCTGGTCTTGAACTCAGGTGATCCACCTGCCTCGGCCTCCCAAAGTGCTGGGATTACAGGTGTGAGCCACAGCGCCCAGCCATATATTTGGTGGTGTTTCTTATAATTCTCACTCTTAAAAATTCTTGCATTTTCATGTACCTGATTTTTTTTTAATAAGAAAAATCAAAGAAATATTATGAGGCCTAGGATAACATTTTCTTCTGCAGAGAATTTTTATTTGCTTTTGGTATGTACTTTGGGCAGTTACCATCGTAAATTACTTTAGTTCAGTTTCAGAGATTTGGATGATTGAAAGCTGGTATTCTAGTTCTTGGGATGGCCGTTCTACTTTTAGTTTACCCTTAATCATAGGATATAGGTTTTAGGGATCTGAACGCAAACAAATTCTGTTCTATTGTACCTTCCCTTGGCTAGCTCTGGTCTTCAGTTTTCAATTTTCTAGCCCTTCAGGGAAGTCAGGACTGCTGACTGCTTATTTTTAATTTTGGACTCTCTTCAAGAATCAACAGAATTCCTCAGAGCAAAGCATTCCTAGTCACCTAATTTCTCCTCTCGGTTTCATTCTCCTGGATTCTAGCCCTTTCACTGTGCCTGGCTTCTTCACTGCCTTCCTAGATCTCCCATCCCTAAAGCCACAGGGAGCTTGATCGACATTATAGACTACCATTACTAGAGAAAGAACTCTGCATTCCTGATCTTTTGCTTCTTCTGCAGTGTTGTTGTTTTTTAACTTCCATAGAATGAATCAAACAAAATTTATTTAACCATACTTCTTTTGGTGATTATTTAGTTTGTTTCAGTTTTTCCATATTAGAAATATTCATTGAATATCTAAATATACCCATTTTTATATGCATGTTCTAGTATTTCTGTAGGCACAATCTCCAGTAAGGGGATTGTTGGATTAAGCTGTTTGTTCATTTTAAATATTAATTAATAATGTTCTAATGCCTGCTATAGAAGCAAAATCAGTCCACACTTCCAGTATGTAAGGAGAAGAGTAATTTCTCTGTTATCAGTGTTTGCCATGTATTTACTCTGAATTGTCATTCTCCACATTTTCTTCTTCATGTTTTTGTTAGAATTTTTCATATATTGTTTAGATAATTCTTTATTATAGATTATACAGATACTTGTCTCTGTTGATAATTTATATGGATTGAAAATCAGAAGCTTTAAATTTTGGTGCAGTCAAATTCATTCCTATATTCATATTATGAACTCATCATTCTATAAAATCCTATGGGGGGGCGGAGCAAGATGGCTGAAGGGGGGGCGGAGCAAGATGGCCGAATAGGAACAGCTCCAGTCTCCAATTCCCAGCGCGAGCGACACAGAAGACAGGTGATTTCTGCATTTTCAACTGAGGTACTGGGTTTATCTCACTAGGGAGTGCCTGACAATCAGTGCTGGTCAGCTGCTGCAGCCCGACCAGGAAGAGCTGAAGCAGAGCGAGGCATCTCCTCACCCGGAAAGCGCAAGGGGGACGGGAATCCCTTTTCCTAGCCAGGGGAACTGAGACACACAACACCTGGAAAATCGGGTAACTCCTACCCCAATACTGCGCTCTACCAAGGATCTTAGCAAACGGGCACACCAGGAGACTATATCCCACACTTGGCCGGGAGGGTCCCACGCCCATGGAGCCTCCCTCATTGCTAGCACAGCAGTCTGTGATCTCCCAGCAAGGCTGGGGGAGGGGCGCTCGCCATTGCTGAGGCTTAAGTAGATGAACAGAGTGGCTGGGAAGCTCCAACTGGGTGGAGCTCACAGCAGCTCAAGGAGTCCTGCCTGTCTCTGTAGACTCCACCTCTGGGGACAGGGCACAGCTAAACAACAACAACAAAAAGCAGCTGAAACCTCTGCAGACGCAAACAACTCTGTCTGACAGCTTTGAAGTGAGCAGTGGATCTCCCAACACGGAGGTTGAGATCTGAGAATGCACAGACTATCTGCTCAAGTGGGTCCCTGACCCCTGAGTAGCCTAACTGGGAGACATCCCCCACTAGGGGCAGACCGACACCCCACACCTCATACGGTGGAGTACACCCCTGAGAGGAAGCTTCCATAGCAAGAATCAGACAGGTACACTCGCTGTTCAGCAATATTCTATCTTCTGCAGCCTCTGCTGCTGATACCCAGGCAAACAGGGTCTGGAGTGGACCTCAAGCAATCTCCAACAGACCTACAGCTGACAGTCCTGACTGTTAGAAGGAAAACTAACAAAGAGGAAGGACACCCACACCAAAACCCCATCAGTACGTCACCACCATCAAAGACCAGAGGCAGATAAAACCACAAAGATGAGGAAAAAGCACGGCAGAAAAGCTGGCAATTAAAAAAATAAGAGTGCATCGCCCCTTGCAAAGGAACGCAGCTCATCGCCAGCAACGGATCAAAGCTGGACGGAGAATGACTTTAACGAGATGAGAGAACAAGGCTCCAGTCCATCAAACTTCTCAGAGCTAAAGGAGGAATTACATACCCAGCTCAAAGAAACTAAAAATCTTAAAAAAAAAAGTGGAAGAATTGATAACTAGAATAATTAATGCAGAGAAGGCCATAAACAAATGGACAGAGATGAAAACCATGACACGAGAAATACATGACAAATGCACAAGCTTCAGTAACCAACTCGATCAACTGGAAGAAAGAGTATCAGCGATTGAGGATCAAATGAATAAAATTAAGTGAGAAGAGAAACCTAAAGAAAAAAGAAGGAAAAGAAATGAACAAAGCCTGCAAGAAGTATGGGATTTTGTAAAAAGACCAAATCTACGTCTGATTGGGGTGCCTGAAAGTGAGGGGGAAAATGGAGCCAAGTTGGAAAACACTCTTCAGGATATCATCCAGGAGAACTTCCCCAACCTAGTAGGGCAGGCCAACATTCAAATTCAGGAAATACAGAGAACGCCACAAAGATACTCCTCGAGAAGAGCAACTGCAAGACATGTAATTGCCAGATTCACCAAAGTTGAAATGAAGGAAAAAATCGTTAAGGGCAGCCAGAGGAAAAGGTCGGGTTACCCACAAAGGGAAGCTCATCAGACTAACAGCAGATCTCTCGGCAGAAACTCTCCAAGCCAGAAGAGAGTGGGGGCCAATATTCAACATTCTTAAAGAAAAGAATTTTCAACCCAGAATTTCATATCCAGCCAAACTAAGTTTCATAAGTGAAGGAGAAATAAAATCCTTTACAGATAAGCAAATGCTTAGAGATTTTGTCACCACTAGGCCTGCCTTACAAGAGACCCTGAAGGAAGCACTAAACATGGAAAGGAACAACCGGTACCAGCCATTG